ACCGTTTTTGAGACGTGCGTCAGCCATCCAGCAATCGTCCAAATTGATCCAATCGTATCCTGCCTTGAGAAGGCCACCTGCGACCTTCTCTACTGGCCTCAAGCATGCCTCTGACTACAAGATCCGCTTCTCGCCCAATGGTGCCAACGTCCTCACGGGCTCAGAGACTGGTGATTTGCATATTCTCAATCCAGCCACGTTGAGACCAGAGCTCACGACGCCTGTGACTCCAGGCTCACCGCTGGTAACAGCCATGTGGCACGAGAAATTGAATCAAATCATCACCGGCTCTTCCAACGGTGAAACACATCTCCTCTACAATCCCATGAAGTCCGTCAATGGCGCTGTCCTCATCATGTCGAAGGCACCGAAGCGGCGACATATCGATGACAATCCAGCTCTCACAACAGACCTTAGCCAAGGCATTCCCCTCGATGCTAGCAGCCAACTGTCTGCTGCCAGGCGCCATCCAGGCGTCGGAATGACCGCCTCAGGCAAGCCCAGAGATCCTAGAAGGCCGCATCTTCCTGTGCAGACACCGTTCTCGAAGTTCCAGATGGATGAGCGGGCCATTAAGGAGAGCTTCCCGCTCAGTTCAATGCGCGATGAAGACCCACGCGAGGCGCTCTTGAAGTACGCTGACCTAGCAGAGAAGAATCCCGTTTTTACAAAGGTCTGGAGCCAGACGCAGCCGAAGCCCGTGTTTGCAGAGCTAAGTGATGAGGATGAGGAGGAGGACAGCCAGGGGCCAGAGCGTAAGAAGCTTAAGAAATAATTCGATCTACATATAGAAATGTCAACCCATAGTGCCCTCCGTCACCATGCACCAAGCTTTTCGCTATCAGCGCAATTATCTTTTTCAATGATTTCGCGTGTAATAGATCCGTTTCGCATGTCCTTCCCGAAGGGCGTACGGAAGGTATGAAGACCTTCTAATAATCCCCCCTACCCGTCGACATGGTGTAGAGATACATACATACATAGATGCTACAACTACAAGCAATAAGGTGATAGTTCGCTGAACTCCGGGCTGGACGTCTCGAATAACAGGACTTAGAGCAGCCATTCGCGATGCCCAACTTCGTCTCACAGCAGCGATATTAGTCTCAGGAGGGATCCTGTCTGGATCTTGCATCCGGTGAGCCATTTTCCTCCTCCTTCATCATCGTCCCTTCATCGCAATCCGGTGTTTCCTCCCTCATCGCGAAGAAGAAACATCTGACGGCACGCGGAACCTCGTTTCTCACTGCTTATCACCTACTTTCTGAGGGGCTAATTGAAGTACTAGCGGACCAGACTGATTGAGGCGCCTTCTCGTCTTTTTGACGGCCGTCTACGCTCGCCTGCGATGAGCATAACAGAATGATGGCTTCCGCGCTACTCCCGCTCGTTATCGCATTCCTCGTGCTTGATTCGGCACTGTCAGCCCCCTGTCCGCTTCTCCCGACTGCCTCTGACGATGATGGTCCTGCTCCAGACGGCAATGGCTGGTCCTCGATGGTGGGCATCGTCGCCTCTGTCGCCGGCAACGTCCTCATTTCTTTTGCATTGAATCTTCAGCGTTACTCCCATATCAGGATTGATAGGGAGTTTCAACAGCGCCTAGCTCTCAAACGGGCGCAGGCTTACAGCGATAACGAGCATATCCAAATGACATCACAAGGATACGGCACTTGCGCATTGGGAGGGAGACCAGCTATGGACGACAATGGCGACGCAGCCACAAATGATAGCCATAGCAGCACCAGCGAATATAATACGCGACGGTCTATCCCAAGCACTACGAGCTCGACTAGGCTTGCAGTCATCGAGGAAGCACGTCGCCAGTCCTACCTTCAGTCGTCCTACTGGTGGGCTGGGCTACTGCTCATGATCCTCGGTGAAGCTGGAAACTTTATGGCTTATGGATTTGCACCGGCATCTGTCATCTCCCCGCTGGGCGTTGTCGCGATTATCTCGAATTGCTTGATAGCGCCTCTGATGCTGAGAGAAACTCTCAGACGTCGTGACTCATTAGGGGTGCTAGTTTCAATTATTGGCACCATCATCATTGTCGTCAGCTTTCACCCTTCGGAAAAGACAATTGGTCCAGAGGATCTTTTCAACATGTTCGCGACCACCACATTTGTCGTATATGTGACAATAACTACAACGGTGATTGTCGTGTTCATGTGGATGAGCGAAACTTGCGGTGCCAGATCCATATTGATCGATGTTGGATTAGTGGGCTTATTTGGTAGGCACCATCTCTCAAACGATGTTGGGCGTTCCACTAAGATAAGAGAAACTAGGTGGCTACACTGCCTTATGCACTAAGGGGCTCTCGTCTCTGCTCTCCCTCGAAATGTGGCATATCATAACCTTTTCCATCACATATGCGCTGTTGACAGTTCTCATACTTACAGCATTGATGCAGATTCGCTACATCAACAGGGCTCTCCAGCGGTTTGACTCCACGCAAGTCATCCCGACTCAATTCGTGTCATTCACCATCTGTGTCATCATCGGTAGTGCAGTGGTCTATCGCGATTTTGAGTCGGCTACGTTCAAGGAGGCTGCTATATTCACAGGGGGCTGCGCCCTGACATTTTTTGGTGTTTATCTGATTACGAGCCGGCGCCCAAAGGTAGCTAGGCTAATGGATGTGGATGAGGAAGCTCAGAATGCAGACTGTGCTGCTGTTCCGAACATTCCAGTTTATACCGATGAAGATGAGCCAGTGATTGATGAGAGGCCTGTGGCTATCGAAACTGAGGTGTCTCCGGCACATTCGCTCCTGGATGTTGATGATATGAGTGAAGGGGAAGATGTCGGCTCAATGACGCCTCGTGCAAGGTCGCCATTAGCCTCAGTCTCAGAGGTTTCGTCTCTCCTTGCGTCGGGGACAACAACCGGGTCGTCAACCAGGCTGCAATCACGTTCTCGCTCACCATTCATTGAAGGCCAGTCAACTGCTGAAGGAGACGCTACGTTGCTCATTTCGCCAACCAGTAACAGTGCGCAAGAAATTCAACTTCGCTTCCCCTCTGCTCCATGTGTAGGTGCAGATTCGCAAGCCCAAATGGCCCATGAGCCAAGAATTATAGAGCGAGACAGCGAACAAATTCCCAGAAATCGCTTAGACAGCAATGCTTCCCGAAACATGGGCTACAGATCTCTATCCACATCCGGCTTCTTCACACCGGGGCCGTTCTTAGCTCCTATCTCGGGGGGTATCACCGCCATTTTGGCCGAAAGCCTCAATCGAAACGGCCCCGATGATCTCGACCATACACGAAGCTATACAAACTCGACCTATTTCGTGCCTGGGTTATGGGATTTGCTTCAATCGCACGATGTTCAGGGCAAAGGCCATGAAAATGCGAGAAATGGACCTCGTCGATCTCGTGCGGACACTACCACGCCATCTTCGAGACCCTCTGCCTGTCCCATTGGTCAACGCCAGAGCAATGTCCATACTGCATCAGATTGTGAGCCCCGATTTCCTTCACGAATACGGAGTTTCAGCGACTCCCTAAGTGGTAGTCTATCTTGGATTAATACCGCTGTTTGGAGGAAACAGCGCGAAACTGCCGCACCCGGCCAGGGCGTTTGACCCTGGCGTTCAATTCCCACGCCGGCTCAAGCATTTACATTATGCCTTGAAATTCTGCATACCCCCTATCAGGAACATACCACATTTTTCAATTGTCCTTTCAGTTTTTTGTTCTTGCATTGCTAGGTCTATCTTCGATTCATGTCCGTATCTTGCAAATATACCCCGGTTGTGCGTACACGCTCATGTTACATACTCGTTTCTGCGTTACTGCTGCGGTGACACTTTACTTTTACTTCAATCATAATAATCGCAAGGAAATCACCTTGACGTGATTTCCATATGCAAATGCTGTGATTTGGTTTACTCTATAAAAAACATATTGAGGGAGCAAATAAATGCAAAAAAAGATGTGACCAAGCCCAGACTCGAACTGAGGACCTTTTCGGCGCTAACATGTGTCATGTTAACGAAACGTGATAACCAACTACACCACTCGGCCTTATTACACTAGGATTTTCACTGAGCAAAGGTCACTACCACACTCTAATCCCTGCAATTTTCATCGCAATTTGTGATTGAGGTGCCATGAAGTAGATCAATTCGCATGGACAGACAGATCATTGAGGTCCTGTGAGCCCTCTTCAGGCACCATGTCCATAAGACCAGACCTGGGGCGTGGAGCATCCTTCTCGGGATCCTGACCTGCTTCGCGTCGTGAGCGTGCACCCGCTTTGAGCTTCTCCCATCGGTCCCTATACCGCTCGACTAAACGGTTTAGCTTCTCATTCTCGCGGCGTGCCTTATCATAGTTCTCCCGTTCGCTTTGCAGCCACCGTTCAAGGTCCTTTATGCGTGCAGCAGCGGAAGAGCTATCAGACCCGGTCTCCACGGGTGACATTAATGATGTAGGTGGTTTGTGTGCATGGGGAACTGGTCCCGTCGTGGGCATTTGATTGTGTTGCATAGCCCTGAAAGACTGATGCAGGGCGAGTGTTGATGACTGAGAATTGGCTTGCCACATTTGTAACTGTCGGGCCAGATCATCAGATGTTTTCTTCAAGGTCTCGTTTTCCAACTGCAATTCCTCCAGTGTCTTTTGATTCTTCACAAGGCCGGTGCCGACATGTGCTGCTGTCAGATCAACTGTCTGGAACGCAGCCTCTATATCGTTGACATCAGACTCCAGCTGTGCATCAATGGATTCGGTATCTACATTGTGACCTGGTGGTGGTTGTTTAGCCTTTCCGGCGACGATTCCAGCATAGGAGATGGTACCACCTGATGTAGGCACCACGTAGAATGACTCCATTGGATTTAGAGCAGGAAACTTGCTGCCATTGCCATCCACGATTGCTCGTACAGCAGCTGGTGAGAGCAATTTGTTTAGATCGGGGTCATGAGAGTGATAAGAGGAGTCGCCAGAAGCGGGACTCTGACCTCCTGATGGTGAGTCTTTTGACTCATTGCCCAGGGGCAATCCCGCAAAAGCGAGAGGAGCCGAAATCTTTGATATAAGTCCTTCAAACGTAGAGTAGAAGCGATTGAAGGGATCGTCGGCAGATGCTTTCTCATTCCCTACCTTGGCGCTGCCCTCACGCCAGGTTCGCACTGGCTTGGGGGTATGGCTGGAGACACCAGGCGGCTCGAGCGTCGGAGCCCATGACGGCTTTGGTCTGGACGGCTGAACAGCGTGGGTTGTGTCATGGCTTGTCAAAGGCTTTTGCGAGGTGGATGCACTGCGCTTGACCTGGTGAATCTCTGCATTGCGTTCGTTGATGCGCGTGGGAGCGGTGTTCTCGCGACGTATGCCGCGGGCAGAAGCCAAGTCGCTGGCTATGGAGCGGCCAAGTCTCGAATGGCCCCGTATGTTGGCCGTGGGTGGAGGTATCGAAGGTGTATCGTTGAAGCCGGACGTCGGCGCTTTCGCAGGTGGATCGGAAGAGACCGAGACCGATGATCGGGGGATGTCATCCTGACGGGGGTTGATTGTTCGGTGTTCATGCTGGAATTTGATGACTTCGGCAAGGCGTTTGTGATGTTGTTCCAGAAGGCGCAGAATCCTTAGTGCCTAAATAGAAGCAGCAAGATGAGTGGGAAGACTGACTAAAATGACCGTCACGAACCAAGACATACCTGGGCGTCATTGCAGTTCTCAGCGGCCGAGGCAAACTCGGCGGCAGCAAGGTCATGCTCCTCACTAGCAGCTACAGGATTGGACCTCTCAGTTTCCGCGAGAGCGTTCCTGGCGTGGATATGGGCCTGTTTCAACGGTGCGCATTGCATTGTCAGCGACAGGATTCCTCTCGTAAAGTGGTGACCTGGGGCGAATCCAGCGTTGCAAGTAGTATAAACACGAGGTACCTGTGTAAGAGAAGCAGATTCCATGATGGCGCTGAGCCGGTTTTGGCCTTCTTCACTTTCTTCCCTCCAGATTGGTGTCCAGGGCGATGTTGATGTGATGAGGCGAGCTGAGGCCGATGTTGATGTCGATGGATGTCGGTGCCCAAGGCCGAAGATGTCGACGTCATATGCCAAGAATAGCCACATTCCCTTCCATTGACACGCTAGACCGAAACAGGCAATTCTGACCTCTCGCGGTGGCAGCTGGCAGGACGGGCGGTGATCCAAGCCGGGGAGATCTATGAAGGAATGTATGAAGGGGAAGGGAAGGGGAAGAGAGATGGAGATGAACACGAAGAGAAGACGAAGAGTGTGGGAGTGAGACAGTATCGGATGTATCCGCAGATGACAGGAAAACCAGAGAGATCAGGCTCAGACTGTACGGAGTATGCCCCGTAGTATATCTGCTGCGCCTGCTGACCGCCACCGACACATGTCAACTCAACGTCTTCTCCTCCGCTACACTGATGCGGTGTCGTGTTGGAATCGAGCCTGCCAGACGAGAGAGAAGCAAAGCAGCCCCCTCCCCCCCTCTCCCAGTGCCCCTCTTCTCTCGGCTGTTCTGCCGCTTCTAGTACCGTACGTCCTTCCACTGCATCCACATTGTACCTCTCCAGCAGATCCCGGGCGTCAGCAGAAATAGAAGCGAGTGCAGAAGAGAGACGAACTATTAGAGAAGACAATCAGCGTACGGATACCGACTGTGCTCGTCGTTGCCCGTGCTGACAAGAAGAGACAGAAGAAGCAAAAACAGCCTCCCAATCCCAATCAGCGGCTTGTTTCATTCATAACCAGGTTTGGTGCAAAGCAGCGCTGCGCAACGCAACGCAACGTCCCTCGACCGCCCTCCCAGAGCTTGGCCCACTCCCCCAGACCGTCCAGCAGCACAGCTAGAGACAACCCCCGCGAAAGCTCTGCTCGACCTCCAGTCTGAGCCTGAGTCTATCTTAGGGTTCCGCCTCACCTTCTTGGCTGCTTCACCTTGGGGATCGCTCCCCCTGAGAGCTTTGATGCGATCAGCCTGTCCGGGCCTGCTGCAATCGCGTCAGATATCAAACATCCACAGCCCCCAAGGCTCCAGCCAGTTCCTGCTTACCGCTGCTGCTGCTAATTTCTCTGCCTGGTTGGGCCGCCTTACGTCGCCTGTCGCCTTGTTTGATTGACAGCAGGGCTCCTCAAGAGCACATCCGCATAAGCAACTACGACAGTTCCGTGCACTTTTTCTTGCTGCTGCCTTCTCATCCTCCCACTTATCTTTCCGTTTCTAACTGCCCGAGGAATCTCAATCTTGGGTGCCTGAGCATCCCTGCCTCTATTCTATAAAGGCACCACTCATGCGGCTTTCTCCATCGCCCTGCAATCGCTAAAGTACCACAGCCCCATCTCTGACAATGGACCACTCTGCCACCGACGACGATGCACGTTCTCTCAATAACTCGGGGCGGTTGCGTGATGGATCCGCTGGAGCCCAATCCTTGCGCGACGAGACCATCGCTTCCAGCAGTTTTGCCCAGAATCTCAGCAGCCCTTCCACCGACTCTGTGGAAAAGCGCAAGCTCGGTAGCTCGAGTGCTTCAATAGCCAGCAATGAAAGCTCGTCTAAAGGATTCTCTAAATTCCTGTCTAGCTCGAAGCGACGGAGACGGAAACAGCGTGAAACCGAAGAAGCAAACCAACAGCTAACTGTCCCTGAATCCAACGTCTCGGGTGATCATATGGAAGATCTCCCCGAAAGCGAAGTGGACACTAATGACTTCGATCATGACTCGTAAGCCTTCGAACCTCCGTCTTCCTTCTCATATGTTTACTGCTCGTGTCACAAGACAAGACATCTCCAACTCCCACCCTCACATATACACATACGCGCAGACAAACACACCTACCCTTGCATGATTCACTTGACATTGTCAATCGCAGGTGCTGACTCGATATCATAAGGTTTCACGGCGCGCCAGGCAGTACTGCGGCAGATTCGGTAGAGGGGGCCGATAGCAGGTCCCAACCAGTCGCAAAAGACACCATGGGAGCATTGAAGCCATCTCGCCGCCGTGCTTCTACTCGACGAAGCAGCGTCACAGGTCCGGCATCCACGCGTGAGAGACTCAAGGATATCTTCAGTTCTTCGAGTCGAAATCCCAGTCCAAATCCAGATCGATCCAACAACAGCAATACTAAGCTCAAAAAGAGCAAGACCGGGTTACCGCCCTCGTCTGATGACGGCTCTAAACAACATACACGTGCAGACTCCGACTCGGCACTGCAAAATACCATTGAGTTCCCACCCCTGGACGATGCTCTCGAAGCTCCACCTGATATCGTTCAATCGCCAGAAACAACCGTCACACCGCCAACTCCTGAGCGTAAGGCAAGACTCCAAGATGGAAAGCTTCCTTCTGCAAATATCAGCGACGTCATTGAAAATGCCCCGGAATCGATCTCAGGCTCCTCGAACGGGTCACGCCCTCCTCATCCACCTCAAGTTATCGTGAGCCCCTCCGGCCACATGATCTCTCATCGGCGTGTACGCTCCGCCGCAGCAAGCACAAGTATGCCGCCTTTGTCAAAGTCACCGACACTGGCTAAAACCCCCGAAGAGTCGAGGTCGCGCAATCAGTCGTCAGCATTAGGCAGTGGTTTCTTTGCTTCGATGTTCTCAGCTGCGCAAAACGCTATGGGAATATCGCAAGCCACTCCTCCAGAGCCACATCAGGACTTGAAATCAACGACGGACCCTTCCGGTGCATATGAATCTGAAGTGAGAAGCGCGTCTTCTGAAGCAAGGAGGAAACTGGCTGTTGATACTCTAGGCGAAGGAGAATTGAATTTGAGTGATCTTGGAATTGATGCTACTTCAGGAGGCGTTGTCACGACCAAGGATGGCGTCACGTTCACGCCAATAGATACGTCCATCGCCAATTCGAAATCAAACGCTGCACAGCGTGACGAGTTGTCCGCGAAGATTGAGGAATTACGCTCTGCACGAGCAGTGTCCCAAGCAT